GTTTTCTCCAGAGCTGCTTTATAGATGAAATGAACTATTTTAATAATGATGATGATCTTTTCAACGGAACTGTATTAACACTAAACTGGCCACAAATGACGCTATTTATATTTTTAGAGCTCCTTTCCAGCCAAAATGACCTCTGTTGGCATAATAAAATCCTTTTCCTGTTATCACTGTAAAGCTGCTTTGAAACCATTTGTATTGTATAAAGCGCTACATAAATAAAGGTGACTTGACTTAACAGTGCTGTAAATGGCAATAAACTGAGATGTAAGTGTAGACTTAGGGTGCATTCAGCACTGAGAGGGATTCAACATTTTGTTGGCTTTGTCATGCATCTCAATCATGCAAATGATTCAACACAGCACAGCTACACGTGATGTCAAGGCTAAAGGTCACCTAAACATTGAGGGAAATGTAGTAGTATAAAAAAAACACTCCTGTCGCATTATCAAACTCATTCTGCTGTTGCCAATGAGTCACAGCAAGCAACGACATTAAAAATTAATAAACCGAACCAAGGAGAGTCATCTTCATTTCCCAACAGAACTGAGCACAGTTGCCGTGCTTTGAATATTTTTATGCTTTTCTTTCTGCAGGGACCCTAGAGGGAAGCAGGCAGAGGTTGTTGGTAGCTAATACTAACCACTTTGTGGCATTAAACTGCATTCTATATTTAACTCAAGTGGTGCTTGGGGGAGCTTGTGACAGAACAGAAGTTTGAATCTGAGGAAATGGAGCTATCAAAGATTAGAGCTATACAAAAACACACAGCAGCCCAAATTTGTTGAAAATTGTCTGGAAGACCCAAAAGAACACAACGCCTGACAGGCCTGATCAGGGTAACACACTTCATTAGCCAGCGCTAACTCTGGTGGAGACTGAGAACCAGAGCACAAACCATAAAAACAAACATACAATAACAATTGATATTAATAAATAGATAAATAATGTTATTTAGAAATCAACCAACCAATAAATAAATTAATAAATTGCATTTAATGTGGTCATATAAGTATGTTTAATTATAACTCATAAATTATTTAGACAATTTTTGGTATAATACTTTAAATGAAGTATAGCAATCTTACACTGCAGGACAGTCCTAAAAATGTCACGTCAACCCTCATGTGCATTTTGGAAAAACACTATTCAGTGCAGTTTGCTGAATTGCAAAATACACTACATTTTCTAGCGACACTAATGAAATCTGAACGAGTCTTCGCAGACCTCAGAGGTGTTCAAAAAAAAAAAAAAAAAAAGCTGAGTCATTCATGGCATACTTCACTGACACTTTCTGAAATCTGGTCACTTGCTTTTTTTAAGTATACAAAGCTTCTATGATGATAGCCGAGTAATTCATGAATGAAGTGCCGAGACGTAAACACCTTGTACATGCATGAGCATCAGAGTTAGAATCACTTTCAATCTTCATCAGGAGGACAGGGGTCCGACTTCTTTTCTAGAAACCACACCGAAGCACTCACATAACATGCTAACTAAGATGCCCAAATCGGAGGTAGAAGTCTGCTAGTTCTGCATAACTCCATTGAGCCCAAATCTAATCACCGTACCTTCCAGCTGCTTGAATTCTGTGCCTGGCAGTTGACACATCATTACAGCACAGCAAGTGACAAGAAGCACCCTGGGGATTCCTTCAAGCGGCTGTTTAAGTCAAGTTAGGAGAGCTCGACAATAACAGGCACCTCCATATCCATCAATATTCCATAGCCCAACTCCTGCGGAAGACGATAAATAAATGCTCCGCACCCCATCGATCCGTGTTCTCTCATTTGGACCTCATGCAAACACAGCTCCCAAAGCCAAACCAACACACTTATTTGGGTTTCACAGTGATGCAGTCTCCTTAACTAAAAGGCTTACCAGAGGAAATTCCATGCAAACTTTTGCATTATCCCCTGTAAGCAAAAAAAACAACAACAACAAAAAAAAAAAACATTCCAACAACACCCCCATCTCCCTTTTCTCACATGGGGCGCCAAATTTTTGATGCGCGCCTTTTCTCGCTTGACAGCGTGCAGAGTCTTTCCGCAAGTCAGCATGGGCCGTGTAATAATTAGCCCCCAAGTGCGTCAGAGCGTTGTTCGTCACATAGCACTATGCAGAGACACACATTAGTAGCTCTAGGCCCAGGAGGGAGCAGCCGCTGACTGACTGCCAAATCCTCCCTGCCGACGGTGGTTGGCGGCAGCCACTGCATCAGTAGCCGACTCAAGATGTGCTCCCACCCACCGAGTCAAAACATTATGTACTGTCATTTCAAGTGTGTAGAGTGAGTGGACCTCTCCATAGATCAGCTGAACCACACGACAACTCTTCCTCTCGGCAGGGATGATTGAAAGGCTACGATTGAAGACAAGGGAAACTAGAAATCATCCTAATGTATAATTTACTCATTACTGACTTGTAATAGTAAGATCAACGCATTCTCATCCTTTAGCGTCATATAGAACGCTATATGAAAAAACGGCGCTATACTACGCACATGGCACCCGTTATCGTTAATATAACACGCGCTGTGATGGTTAGGTTTAGGTGTGGGGTAGGGTAGGGTAGTCTCATATTACGCTAAAGGATTTATGACGCCTTGGGTTCGCGTGAATATTAACGATAAAGGGTGCCATGTGCATAGTATAGCGCCGTTTTGTCATATAGCGTTCTATGTGACGCTAAAGGATGAGAACGGGCTGGTAATACATATCATAATACATATTGTGATGTAAATGTACTTTTTATTTGGCCAGTACATTTTCCTACAGACTATTTTTGCAATACAAACTTGTAAGCATCTTTGATTTACATACAGTGATTGCCACCATTACTTAAAATGACCGTTTTCTTTTAGCCTCACAAGCTAAACCCACATCAAGATGTTGGGTCTGGGAACACACCATTGGCAGGGCTCAATCCGAGGGGCGAAATAAACGGTTGTCTTTCAAATTCCCTCTGCAAGCAATAGGATAACACTATAACCAACCAGAGCAACAAAAAAGGTGACGTAGGTGACACATCTTCCTTTTTTATGAAAGACCGCTATTCGCCAGCAGCAGCAATCTTTTTTGGTTTAAAGTAGCAGGGAATTCACGCGGAACCCTCGCAACTCTGCCGTCATTATGTTAAGCCCGCCCACTAAATCTATACACAATGTGACTGGCCTGACTAGATTTTGGTTTTTCCAGCTCGCAAGCCAACGGAGAGAGTTGCCAGATGTAACTGGCAGCAAAATAAAATTTGCTGCCGCTAGGGTGCGTCTAGATTTCTTGGCTAGTTTTCTTGACAGTAGCAGCAAAAATTGGTGAAAGAGTTTAGTTTGTTTCCGTGAATTCTCTAAATTAATCAATACAAATGTTGACTCAGTGACATTAAAAATAAAATTGCTATTTTCTTTATTAGCAAAAAAGGGCATTAAAGTTAGGTTCGTTTCCGTGAATCAGTTGAAAACAGTCATTTTTTACGAATTGTGATTTGCCCCTTTACCCAAATCTATTCTCAAAAAAGTTTAGGCGTGTCGCATCAGTTTAAGCACATAGTCCTGCCCCAAATTCACACCATTGGTTGAGCCAGTATTACTTTGGGATGGTTGGGATACTCAAATGTTTTGAAAGAGTCACCATGTTTACATTTACTATATATATATATATGTATATAAAATATTGGCAAAAACAATGAAAGATATTGAAGATGATTTTTGGGATATACTGAACAGCCCTACGATTGTTTATATAAAATAAGCTAAAGAAAGAAGACTTTTTCATGGTTCATTCAGGTACTCACATGCAAATATTCTTGCACGCTGTGGGCAGCACGGCATCTCGGTTTTGCCCAAAACATTCCAGTGGTTTTTACACCTCAAAGTGCAGAACAGGCCAAACAACCAATGAGATCTAACACATTAAGACCTTATGACACATCAGGATCATGTACGGCAGTAATCAAATTTGATGCATGTTAGTAGAACAGAGAATAGAGCTGAGCAAAAAACATCGGTCAGATCATAATCAAAAATGAACCAAAACTTCAGAGACATTTTAAATAGTCTTTTTATATTTTCAAAAGATATAAAGAGACATATTTCAAAGCAATAAACAAAAGCTAGACTCTCTTCAAAGATTAAAAAATTGTCCCATAGTGCTTGTTGAAAAGTTCTTCAAGGCTTCAACAGTATTTAATCCAGGGTCTCTTGAGGCTTAATATAAGAAAATAGCAATCACCATTTCTGCAATAATAGACTGTAGTGAGCACATCTGTAAAAGACCAATCATAGCGAATGTGTGTGATGTGGACCTGTGCATTTTCTGTAAAGCTGCTATGAAATGATGTGTATTGTGAAAAGCGCTATAAAAAATAAATGTGAATTGAATTGAATCATACAGAATATTTCATTGGAGAGCAGCATAGTCATCTAATTTTAATGATTAACTATTTCTCAAAAAGCTATCACATGCTTTTAGAAGTCTTGGAATAAACAATAGCACACAAGTCATATGGACGTCTTATCTGTTACTTAGTTAAAAAGTTTGGGGCCTGTAAGAATAAAAAAAGAATAATTATATGTATTTATTAAAAGTATATATATCAAATTTTTAAAAGGTTGTACTTCTTGAGTACCAACTTGTTCTAAGACCTTTAGAACGTGGTGTCATGCACACGATGATGCAAAAGACGCAAGCACAATGGTCAAACATGTCCGTCTAGCGTGGGTTGACATAAAAACCGTGGAAAAGCAGTGCAGTGGAATGCACATCATTTTCATTTTTGGGTGAACTGTTCCTTTAAGGTTTAGCTATGCTGCAACTGTAAGTCCTGATTGATTAGCCTCAGGTACCGAGTATTTATTGTGTACTTTTACATTTCACAATAGCATAGAAAACACTTTCTCAGACCATCATGCACTGTTGTTTAAGTGTGACACGCCTAAATGCATTTTTCTAATAGCAAGTTGCAGATGTTTCACACTGGAAATGAGGGATACTTACTTGCAGGAGATGGAGTGCTGTATCCACTGACAGGAAGTCCTGGAAGTGATGGAGGGGAGAGCCCTCCTAGCATATGTGGAAAGAAGTAAGGGTAGTGCGGCATAGGGAAGCCCCCTAAAGGACTGGGGCAAGGGTTGCCGTTTCCAGACATGGTACGCTCAGATACAACACTGAGTCCCAGACCTCTGTGCAGGCTATCCGTGATGCCGGATGTCTACTTTCCCATCATGATCTACTTTGGTAATCCAACTAGGAGAGCTTTGTCTACGATTGTCTGATTGGGTGCTTACTATTGTGGCTGTAAGACAGAGACAGATTAATGATTGGTGATCCAGGGTGTGTGTGAGAGTGGTTATGACGCCATTCGATCACAGTGGTGTACGGCTCACAGGTTTGTTTTGGTGTTATGCAACTCTCTGGATACGATCCCAAAGTTTTCTTTGAATAGAAGTAAGGCAGTATATTCCAGCACTGTTTGACAGGGATGTTCTGAAGCAGCAGCGGAGTGTTTCAACTCTTCACTGGGACCTGAGCTCACTCCAAACCCCCAGTATTCGAGAGGACTGACCAAGACGATGTGACGCAAGAGGAATCGAGACGCGGTGCTCCAGAGGTCACAAAATGCTCTCGGGTCAAACCTATCAGAGCGAGTCAGTCCAACACGGTGACCTAAGAAAGACAGAAAAAGAATGGAAAGGAACAGAGAAGAGGACATTTTTAGTGGTCAGATGTGTTTGCGGGCATTCATTTCAAACTGATATTTGAGTACACAGCTAAAACGAAAAAGGTGTACATGGCTGATTTACAGATAAATGTAAAGTAGCTCTCCTTTGTGCCAGTTAAAAGAATATTTGTCAATGGATACTTGAATGTACCTTTTCTGTACATAATAATATTTTAAGTAACTATCATTGTCAATTTTGATTCAGTTTCATTTCATTTTGCTGTCATCATGTCATAAATGATTTTTCAGATCTTCAAACAATTCCTGAGAACTACATGCTTTGGATTATTAAATGATGTCTCAGTCTTCATTGCAGAAAGAATAAGTTAAGTCTGCAAGTTAAAAAAAAAAATATTTCGAAAAGAAGTCCCTTATGCTAACCAAGGCTGCATTAATTCGATCAAAAATACAATAAAACAGTAATATTGTTACAATTTGCAGCATTATTACACCATTTTTCATTGTCCTTCAGAAACCATTCAAACATGCTGATGTGATGCTCAAGAAACATCAACAGTTGTGCTGGTTAATATTTTAGAGATACATTTTTTTCAGGATTTTTTGATAATTATAAAGTTCAAAAGATCAATATTTATTAGTATAAAATTATAAATGTTAAATTACTTTCACTTTTAATCAATGTAATGCATCACTACTGAAAAAACATCACTTTTTTTTTCAAAATAAAAAGTAAATGTAAATTAATGTTACTAAATGAATACATATCTCTAATTCAGTCATGAAACTCTAGATATTGCAGACTGATAGGTCCTTAATTCAATCTGTAATCATGTCACAAACTGACTGGTCCGTGTTGCCTGCTTAGCATTTCGATAGTTTGGTTTTGTGTTTGCTGTAAGTCTTGCTAAATGACATCTCTCCCACAGCTCCACCTGCATAGATGTGCTAAGGGTAATTTAATGTACACTATTTGTGTGGTAGCATTATGTATTACATGCTCACAGCAGCTTGACTGTGAAAGTACTGACAGAACAGAAGCAAGTCTTTGAACTTGCTCTGTAGCAGCGGCCGCAATAATAAACAGCAGCAGAAGTGTAGCAGATCTATTCCGCCAAGACCAAATACATTAACATTGTCATGTCCATTACCATGCAAAACTATTCTGAGAGATGTCATGATAGAAATACTGATTCAAGTCATTTTAGTGTCAATAGTAACTAAAGAGTACCATACTGAACTTGTTGTATCGGTATGGATTACGGGTATGGATAACGATGTACTAAAAACTGTAAAAGTTCTTGCTTTGCTTTTTGGCATACAGAAGACAGCTTTGTCAAAACAATCCCTGCATGCATGTGTGTGCATCTTTGAAAACGATTAAAAATCAGGATTCGCACACCCTGGCTAACTTCAAATTCAAGGACCTTTCAAGGACATTCCAGGTCCAATACCGTCAAATTCAAGGACTTAATGTCGGGACACATTTCAAGTGAGAGCAAGGTTACATCGTTTCAGCAGTTTGAGATTATTTTTGCAATTTTTCACGGTGTGTCTGTGAAATGTTGAGGTATCATGGTAATAGTTTCGTGCACATGTGAATGTCATGACAAAAAACACACAAAAACCCCCCCCACTAAAAACACTAATAAATGCGCGTAACTAATGTAAACCAAGCAAGCTAGTATGCATAGGCCACGAAGTGTTGGCGAAATAACAGGCTTGTGGACCGGAGGGAATAATATGTAATAATAAATAGTTTTTTGCAGAAAGCTTCTGGCACAAATTAAATTCAAGCGCTTTCAAGGACCTGTATATGTGCATGTTTATTTTCAAAAACTTTCCAGGGCCTTGAATTTTTGTTTTCAGATTCATAAACTTTTAAAGATTTCAAGGACCAGTGGGAACCCTGAAAAATGCTGTATTATGCTGCAAGGCCAGAAGTAAGAAAAGTGCCTAGACTGAACACGTAATAGACATTTGCACAACATCACCATTTTCAGAAATTCACGTCACTGTTTTCACAAATTCACATTTTTGTAGCTTTTCAGGCCCCCAAAACGCTGTTGTCATGTAACTGAATGGCCAAAACAGAAAAAGTTTTGCAGTTTTAGTATTGAAATCGAATGCTTCTCTACCATAGCATGCGAAAAACCAACACATTCTCATCCCAAGACGTCATCTAACTGACGCTTTTTCCCAGTTAGATGACGCGGGCAGGTTTAGGTCTGGGGTAGTAGGGTTAGGCCGTGTGTCCACCAAAGCATTTTTAGCCAGCTGAAAATGCCAGGCGCTCTGCTGAAGACGTGTGCTTTTGGCGCTTGGTAGCGTTTTTTCCGTTGAGACGTTTCGTTGCCATGATACAGAATATCCGCAGCACAGTTTACTTGAAACTGATTTCGCAGATAATTAGTTTCATACTAAAAATGTATTTTTCATCCATGTTGTTTGGTAAGCTCTGCCAGTTGATGTCATTGTACAGAAAGAATGTTGTGACAGTTGGTCAGTGTGGTTTAGTCCCGCCTCTCCTCCACTGCGATTGGACGGCTGGATAAGAAGTGACAGTGATGAGCACTGCGTTTTATGCAAAGTTTTTATCCAAACATTTTTTCAACTCTCGGCGACCAGTAAAAAACGCTGGGCCCTCGGCGCTTCAGCGTGAAAAAAAAAAACGCTCAGCGCCTCGTTACGCTCATGCCGTTTAAAAAACGCGGTGCTCCCATTGAAAACAATTGAAAACATACGCCAGGCGCGTGGAATAACGCTTTGGTGGACAAACAGCCTTAGGATTAGATAGCGTCATCTGACTGACGTTAAAGGGTACCCTAAAACGTCGGATGTTGACGTATGGTCAAAAGTGTCAGTTGGATGACGTCTTGGGATGAGAACGGGCTGGAAAAACACTATGCCAACAGAGTAGTATGTCCAAATACATAGTATTCAACAAAAAGTAGGCAAAAAGTCACTGGATGACCTACTTATTCAGGAGAGATTCTGAAGAGCACATTTGATGGACACTTTACTATCCCATGAAGCCACGAGAGGATTTATGAATGGAGGCAAAGCGACGTAACTGACGCTGGTAGGTCACATGCATTCATCCTATATAGAACATACTTTTCTAACAATCACGAAGTAGTTAAAATTCAAATGTAGTAACTCAGTGATTTCAGACACACCAACTGTGAACAGTCCCTTACACTAATGTTACAACCTGTAACTGCTTTCAAATGAGGCTTTTGACTTTTCAGTTGACTGTGTTTACCTCTTTTTTTGATTTGAATTCTCTACACAAAAATGCTTTAAGGTCACAATTCAATCCAGGCCACATTAGAATTTTATCCAATCATTTTTAGAAAGTCATGAAAACATTTGACTGAAAATCACATAGAAATCTCCAGTTCATTCCTCTGTGTTGGTCAGTAAAGCTTGTCTGAGTTAGCATCAGTAAAACTCCATGTTCATAATCATATTACAATCTAGCCTAATTGATGTTCTGTAAGAAGTGCCAATAACAGTGTAGTATCCTCAGCTCTGTTCTACATATTTAAAGCAGAATTTCCCCCAAATATCCAGAGAAAACACAAAAAGTCTGCGTAGTCAAATTGTCACTCTGCTCTGTATCATTATAGCCATTGAAAACATATTACCCATATTATACAGTGTAAATCATGGCCGACCACACACAGATTAGATACAATGATTGCTGAATATAGGAATGTGTTCTCCATTGTAACCATCTTACTGACAGACATCTGGACCATCACAATACATCAGTTTGACATCATACCTCAGAAAGAATCTAAATAAGCTAAGAAATTAGAGAAAGAAAGACCTGCGAATTTACACTCAGGGCCTGTTCTTGAGCACTGAACCCAGCTTGACAGCGTGGGAAAATGCTGCCAAGGTCTTCCCCAGTGAGCTTGTTAACTGTAGAGTTCCCTCAGGAACACGGAGCAGGATCTTCACACAGACCGTATGTCAGAAACCCTCATTAACACTATCTATCTGGGCATAACCTGAAAATGTGAGAGCGCAAACTGTAAGGAGGAGGAAAAACACTGTTTGAAGAACCAGTGAAGAGCAGGAAAGAAAAAATAGTGTCTATCTGTAATCAGTCTGTCTGTCTGCATGCCGGTCGTGCTTCACTATCCTAGCGCCTATTTATCCGCAACTCTCAGGCCCATTTGTATGACCATATCTGGCGTCTTTCTGCTCGACTCTACCCATCTATTCTCAGGACTACACAACAGATAAGAAATATTGCACAAGTAAATCTACTTCAAACATTCTCCCATATGGAATATGGATTATGAATCTCCCTGAAGGCATACAGAGCATCATGGATGTACCGCTCGAAGGGGGAATGAGAAACTGAGAGAAAAAGTCTAAAAAGAAGGCAGCAAGAGGGAGAGATCAAAGACGAGAAAGAGAGTGAAGACACCTTATTGTGCTGCACACGCCTCTCGAATCTCACTCATACATTATTAAACGGCGTACTAAGTAGGTTAAACCCCACTGGTCCCTTTTACATAGCAATGAACTCACTAATTCAATGCCTGAGAGTGTGTGAGAACGGGTGATAAAAAGAGATTAGAGGACTCATGTATTTTTGTGAAAGATAGATAGACAAATGAAGACATCAAGAAGGAAAAATACATTTATGTGAAACGTTTCAGTAAGACGGTTGAACAGTTTTAAGCATAAACTCACAAGATGTTATTAGATTTATGACAAGAAACAATAAGTGTATACAAATATCAAATGTTAGCTTTGAGGCTAATCTTAATCTACATTTACATTTAGTCATTTAGCTGATGCTTTTATCCAAAGCGACTTACAGCTGCTATATATAAGTCGCATGCCTCTGGAGCAACAAGGGGTTAATTGTCTTGCTCAGGGACACATTGGTGTCTCGCAGTGGATTCGAAACCGGGTCTCTCGCACCAAAGGCATGTGTCTTATCGGAGGCATGCTCCATCACCAC